CCATCCCACTCGGAGGTAGTTGGCGTAGGTCGACGGCGTCCGGCGGAGCTTCGTGCTGGTGAGGGGCGCGGAGGCGTGGCAGCGGGGTAGTGAGGGCCTTGTGGCGGCGCGATGGGCTTCACGAGGTGGATCTCGCTCGCGGATGTGATGGCAGCTTGGTCTGGGCTCGGCCAGATCTGGCGGGCCGGCGGGCGGGGGCAGCGCCGGCAGGGTGGGCACGTCTGCTGATGCATGTGGCGCGGTGGACGGGCTCGGGGCGGGCGCCCGAGCTGGTGGTGCGTGCTGGCCGACCTCCAGTCGGGGCTCCCCTGTTCCGGCCCCTGGACGATGGCGAGCGGCGCGGGGTGGTTTTCCCGGTGAGTGCTCTTGGCTGCGGGTGTGGGTTGGCTTCGCGCTCCTTGTCAATGGTTGGGTGGGCTGCCGTTGGTGGCCTCGCGTCGAGTTGCGGCGGGCGCCATGGTGAGGTGACACGGGGGTGTGTCCGATGGGGAGTTCTCAGGAGGGATGGGAGGCCCCGATGGCCACCCATCGCTGGTGCAGGGGTGCACCAGTCCGGATGCGCCCGCTCCTCCTCCTCCCCCTTGGTTGTGTGCTCTTTGTTGGGGTTCTGGCGATGTTCGAGGCAGGGCGGTTGTTGGCATCTTCATAGGCGGGGGCTGCCAGTCAGGTCAAAGCCAAGGCCTTTGGGTGTTCACGGAGTTGCTTGGATGCTGGGCGGCGGCGGGAGACGCAGTGTTCATGGGCGGAGCGCGCGTCTTGGGTGCGGTCGGGCAGCCATGGCCACGTGGGTGGCATGGTTGGTGATGTTTGGCGAGCATGGTGGTTTGGTAGAGGGTTAACACCGGAGTGCATAACTTGCCCGGTCTTCTCCGGCCAACGGTGGCGGCGGCCGCGGGTGTCGTTTCCTTCATGAAGGCTCCGTCCCGGTGTTCTCTTCTCTCCATGTTGCTCCGGGTGAAAACTTGATCTCCGAGATCGGGCGGTGGCGATTTTTGATGTCGTGCCCTTCTTGAAGGCACCGCCTTGGAGTCCATGCTTCGCCATTGTCCCGCTTCACTTCTTCTCGGTGGCTAGGTCTCGGAAGGTCCTCGTCGGGCTCAAGTGTTTGGTAGTGTGCTTGGTGGTCGATTGGGTAGTGTTGCGGTGCATCGGCACCATTGTATCTTGCCTTGGGTGTATGTGTTGTGTGGGTGGTTGCGTGTTGCATCCGGATTTGTACTTCTGGTCGTTGCTTTATATATAAAGCGGGGCGAAAGCCTTTTTCGGTAAGGAACACAAAGGTTTGATATCATAGATAGCCAAATACGCGATTCAAATAGTTTTTGACACAAGTGATACATTGCAGTTAAGTTAGTACTACATGGTAAGATAGGATGAAATGTTTGATTTTGTTGGCAATTGATACATTGTTCTTCCACAAGGAGAGATTGTGTCCACCTCTATCACTGGATTGGTAGGTCTCATGGTCTTTGATGGTTAAATGGACCCTTTTGACAACTTCTGCAAGCATGTATTCTCCTGTTTATTTCACCATGGATTGGTGACAGCTGAAACGCATAGGAGCGGTATAGATAAATGTGCTGGAAGTTATCAAGTGACATATATGACTACACTTTTGAAGATTCTCCATATGACTACACTTTTGAAGATTCTTTATGGGCAATGTAGAAGATCTAAGTCAGACTGCTAAACCAAGTTCAAAAATTTATCTCCATATTTTTATTACAATGAATTTCATCTTTACCCCTATTTTCATGTTTGTGACAACATTTACCTTGTTTAGTAGGGTTTTTTTCACATTGTATCCAATTTACCTACGTTTACTGCTGATTGTGCCTGCGCATCGGCTGGTTTGTTTTCTCTGGTTATTCGCGCCGAGCCGAATAGAACCGGACGCACCGCGCCGCACCTACCCTGGTCGAGCGACGCACGCGCACCGCTGGGCTAGGGCGGCCGCAGCAGCCGGGCCGGCGAAAGGGGGCAGCTTGGGGGACGGCGCGCCGGGCATCGGGTGCTGCTCCTGCTGTTGCCGCCGCGTCGAATGAGGGGAACGCGTGCGTCGGGTGCTGCTGCTGCTGCTGCTGATGCTGATGCAGGGCAGCGCCCGGCGAGGGCCAGAGAAGTGCTGCTTGGCGTCCTCGCCGGCGAGCGTGAACGCGAGGCCGTGCCCCGTCCGCCGTGAGCGGCGGCTGCGGGTGGAGGTGGGGGCGTCGGCGTTCGCGGAGGAGTCGTCCGTGCAGCCGACGATCCAGCGGAGGAGGGCGGCGGTCCTGCATCGCGGCCCCTCCGGCCTGTCATTGCTAGCCCATTTATCTGACCCGTGTGGCCCAGCCCATTCTGCTTGCAACCGAGCAAACTGCAGACTCTTCTTCCTTACCGCGTGTCCTCTGCCAGTCCACACCCACTGGTGATCATTGAGTGGCTCACAGACTGCTGAAGCCATGGAGGACGCTTACCTTGTGCCGGCGATTTTGTGGCTGGTGCAGACCATCCTTGGCACCCTCGGGATCCGCGAGCTGGATTCGTGGATCCGCCAAGCCGGGCTTTGGCATGACATCGAGAACCTCAGGTCTGAGCTCGAGGTAGTCCAGGCGGTGGCCACCGATGCGAAGGGGAGAACGCTCCAGAGCGTGCTTCTGGATAAATCTCTCACCGATCTCAAAAGGTTTCTGTACGACGCCGATGACCTGGTCGACGAGCTCGACTACTGGAGGCTCCGGCACCAAGTCGAAGGAGGTATTGAATTTGAATCTTACAAATCGATTGTAATTCTAATTCCTGTAAAAAATGATTTACCGCAGTTAGAATTCGAAATTTTCGGGTTGGCCGGAGAGCACAAACTTTTGACGTGGTTGATCATTTCAAGCATCAAAGTAGCTCTGTTTCAGACTTTCAGTCACCAACACTGTATCCATCTCCCAACAGGCCAACACACGCTGCCTTCTTCGTCCAATGCGTACAATCACTATGCCTCCGACGGTGTTACTCAACATACCACAATGACTACCCCAGGTTAGCCACAGAACGACCTTCACTCAACCTTGGCAAAATCTTTTCCGGTCTAGCAGGACTTTGGAACTAATAGCCCTCTTCTTTTTGCGCAGTTACTGTGCAGGAGCTCGATAGCATGTATGAAGCAGCGCGAGTAGATCATGGCACAGTGAGGGACGATAATAATATTCCGGCGACAAGCAGTCGTGGCAAAAAACGGTCCAAGGCATGGGATGATTTTGTGGACATAAAAGATGGTAATGGAAAGACCGTGCAGGCAGAATGTAGACACTGTAGAAAGAGAGTTCAATACAAAGGTGCACAAGGGCCAAGAGTCTTGACAACTCATGTCAAAAGTACCTACTGCAAGAATATGCGAGAAGCACATCCCCAGCTGCAAAGCCATCCAAGGTACAATTTCAAATTTGAAAAAGGGGTACATTTCTTCATTTACTCACACCATCTCAGCACATCTTATTCTACATCGATGCACATTTTGTCTTATTCTTTGAAAGTGTTTACATGCATCTGCTTAACAATCCACCATTTTTTTTCTTCTTCTCACAGCATAAATGAAGCTGCTGAAAATGCTACTCCCGTTGCTGCTGGTAATTCATCCAACAGACCGAGGATGGTAACGAATCAAGAGCCAACAGAAATCACCACAGCTATTGCTCACCCTTGGGATAAGGACGAATTTTCGAGTAGGATACAAAAAACAACTCATCAGTTGAAAGGCATCCGAGGGGATGTGACAAAGGATCTCAACATGCTTGGGTCACACTCTGGTGCAAGTTCAGGTCACCATCAAAGTACAGCAGCCTCTGATCCACGCCAAAGAACATCAAGCCTTCTTCAAGGCAAAGTGTATGGGAGAGACGAAGAGAAGAACTCCATCATAAACCGGATGAGAGCTGGCAAATCTGACAGTGTAACTGTTCTGCCTATTGTAGGCATTGGAGGGACCGGGAAGACGGCACTCGCACAATTTGTATATAATGATCTGAAAGTGCAAAACCAATTTGACCACAGCATATGGGTCTGGGTGTCTAACAGCTTTGATGAAATGAGAATCACAAGAGAGATGTTAGATATTGTCCCTCGAGAAAAGCACGAAGGGTTATGCAGCCTTGACAAACTTCAGCAGGTCTTGAAAACTCATACTGAATCAAAGAGGGTTCTACTTGTTTTAGATGATGTCTGGGATGACATGAATGATTGCATATTTAACCTAATACTTGCTCCTTTCAAGTCAAACAATGCAAATGGCAGTGTGATCCTTGTGACGACTAGATATATCTCTGTTGCAAAAAGGATAGGAACGACTGAACCAGTTGTGTTAGGTGCTCTGGAAGATGACGATTTGTGGTTATTGCTCAAAGCACGAGCGTTTCGTGATGAGAACTATGAAGGGCCTAGAAATCTAACAAGCATTGGATGGAAAATAGCACGCAAGCTAAAAGGCAACCCATTAGCAGCAGTAACTGCAGGGGAACTATTAAGAGTTGATTTTACTGTTGATCATTGGATTAAAATTCTCAAGGACGAAGATGGAAAATTGTTGGGACAGAGTGGAGGCATCATGTCTTCTTTGAAGCTTAGCTACGATCAGTTACCATACCATCTACACCAATGTTTCTCATATTGTTCTATATTCCCTGACAGTTATAAGTTTCTTGGTGAGGAGTTGGTCCGTATTTGGATTTCACAAGGATTTGTCAAGCAGAACCATCCAAGCAAGACATTAGAGGAGATAGGAATGGACTATCTGGCTGAATTGGTGGACCTGGGATACTTTCAGCAATGTGAAGAAGACTCCTCTCTATGCAGTCAAAATTCATTTTCTTTCAAAGGCAGCAATTTCTTTTATACTGTGTCTGGACTTATGCATGATTTTGCAACGATGGCTTCAAGAGCTGACTGTGCAGTTATAGATGGTATACAATGCAATGATATATTTCCAACTGTACAAAATTTGTCAATAGAGTGCAAGAAAGATCAGCATGGGAATGTGTCTTGGAATAGCAAGTTTAAAGAAGATTTGCGAAAAACAGTTACGTCCATGAGAAAACTGAGGACATTACTGTTAATCGGGCAATATGACTGTTCCTTCTTCCAATCCTTCGAAGGCATATTCCAGAAAGCATATGATATACGTCTTCTGCAAATATCCGCTACATTTGCAGATTTTAATTCCCTCATGTACAGTTCTGTAAATCCTACTCATCTTCGCTATCTAAAACTGGCGGTCAATGAGGCGAGGGGGGATTTGCCTCAGGTTTTGAGCAATTGTTGTCACCTTCAAGTATTAGATGTCGGCTCAAACACTCATCTTGATGTACCTCATGGCATGAATAATCTTGTCAGTTTGCGGCATCTTGTTGCAGCTTCCATTGCTAGAATTGGCAAATTGACCTCACTTCAGACACTAAACAATTTCAGCATACAAGATTCTAATGGCTTTCAGATTATAGAACTTCAATGCATGAACGATCTTGTCCAACTTGGGATTTCTCAACTTCAAAATGTTAAAACTCAGGAGGAGGCTTGTGGAGCAGGACTGCTTGACAAATGGCACTTAGAAAAGCTGCACTTGTCCTGGAAAACTCTCTTGTCAGATGGTGAATATGCACTGAGATATATACGACAGTTAGAAAAGCTGCACTTGTCCTGTGAAGATATCAACCTGAATATTTTACATGTTGAGAACGTCACATGCTCTGAACCTTCTACCAGCATAGAAACAGAGAAGTGCTTGCCAACAGAGGTCCTTGAGGGTCTTGAACCACATAAAAACCTAAAGCATCTTCAGATATCTGGATACAATGGTGCTACCTCTCCATCTTGGCTATCTGGATACAATATCTCTGTTACCTCTTTACAGACTCTGCATTTGGAGAACTGTAGAAAATGGCGGATACTTCCATCTCTGCAAAGGCTTCCGCTTCTTACAAAATTAAAGTTAAGCCTTATGCCAAAAGTAGTAAAAATATCAGTTCCTTCATTAGAGGAGCTGGTGTTAATTAAATTGCCAATGTTGGAGACATGCTCCTGCACTTCTATGAGGGAGTTGAACTCTTGTTTAAGGATTCTGAAGATTAAGAATTGCCCTGCACTGAGGGTGTTTGATCTGTTTGGGAACCGCCATAAATTTAAAATTGAGCAGAAGTTTTGGTTGCCACGTCTTTGTGAACTCATTATCCACCACTGTCCTCTTTTGGTAGTACCACGCCCTTTACCATCTTCAAGTACTGTTTCTAGAATTTCCATGAGAGGAGTTTCGAAATTTCCAAGAATAGATTCACAGTCCTGCGGAAGTTTAACCATCGGCGAGAATCCTGAGGTGTATGATTCTGATGAGGATCCTTTTGACAAGTCCGCTGATAATCTGTCAGTGTTAGATGGAAATATTTTGGCATTCCATAATCCAAGGTTCCTGACAGAGTTGATAATAAGTTGTTGCCAAAATCTAACGTCTATCTCATTCAAAGGATTAAGTCAACTTGTATCCTTAAAGAAACTCAGAATACTGCACTGTCCAGGACCTTTTAGTTTCGATGTTCCACCAGACCATACCCATGAAGATTTTTCTAAAGCTGATACCCATGAAGATTTGACAGCTGCAAATTGGAATGCCCTCCCATCTCTCGAACATCTAGGGATTTTTTCATGTGGAATAGCGTGGGAGTGTCTGTCTCTGATTCTGCAACATGCGCCAGCACTAATGGAATTGGATTTATGCCGCTGCCCAAAACTGGAATCTCTACAACTGAATTCCTGCACGACACTGCAAAAGTTGAGCATACAGAACTGTGAATCGCTCGGCACACTAGAGGTCTTGCAATCCAATTCCCTCAGGGATATGGAACTAAGTGAAGTCCCAAATTTGAAATCTCTACAGCTGCACTCTTGCACGGCACTGGAAGAGTTGGTCATCTTTGGATCTGCAGTATGCGTGCTCGAGGGCTCGGAATCACTCAGGAAGTTGCATGTTTATGACAACCCGTATTTAAAATCTCTACATTTGTATTCCTGCACAGAACTGAAAGAGTTGGATATTTTTTGCTGTACATCACCATCTACAATAGAGGGCTTTCAATCCCTTGGCAGTCTCAGGAGTCTACGTCTGCGTAATTGCTGTGGTTTACATTCATGTTTGGAGAGTTTGCCAGTGCAGGACTACGAATTATGCCCTCAACTGGGTGTTCTTGAAATCGATGAGTTCTCTTTCCTTGCCACATCGTTCTGCAGGCAACTCACATCACTCCAGAGCCTAGTTATTCATTGCCGGGGGGAAGGAACAAAAGCAGCGCGACTAACAGATGACCAAGAGAGAGGGCTTCTGCTCCTCGATTCCCTCGCACAGCTCCAATTTGAGAATTACAAGCATCTCAAATATCTTCCTGCAGGCCTGCACAGACTTCGCTCCCTCCAGGTGTTGCTGATTTCAAATTGTCCGAGCATCTCAGAGTTGCCGGACCTCCCGCCTTCTCTACAGGAGTTGAGAATCATATATGTCTGTGAGGAGCTGAAACAGCAATCCAAATTGCGGGCATCAAGCAAGTTAAAGGTCAGAATTGACTACGAATATGTGAACTGATTACTCAGTGGCTTGTTAAGCAGAACCTGCATACCAGATATAGTTGTGCATTTGTACTTCTTTTGAGGTATACTTCTAGCATAATCATGCTATACCGGTTTACTGTACTGCGGTGCTTTTGTTCTTTTTGTTCGTGGAAGCAACAAAAACTGACTTTAGGCCAGTTCCTCAACAGGTTTCTTTCACCTCAGAACCTCATCCTGATGTGATCTGTTTACTGACATACAGATATAGTTGCACAACCATTCCTTCGTTGAGAGGTTGGAGATCCGAAGATGTCTGGATGTGTCAATGCCGGAAAATGGCCTCACACCTTCGCTGGAAGAGTTGGGCATGTCGCTTTGTGGCGAGTAGCCAAATGGTCATTGTTAAATGCTCACCACAAGCAAGCTAAGGGTCGGCATTAATTTACAATATGTGAATTGGTTGCGCCTGCACGTGCACAAAGGATATTGCTGTACTGCTTTTGAGGTAGACTTCTACCATAGATCATGTTATGTACAGAATTGACATAATGAAGTGTTATTGTTGTTCTTCTGGAAGTATCAAAAACTGACCTTATGTCAGTTCCTGGACAGCTTCGTTTTCACTTCATAACCTCATCCTCATGTGATCCTACTTTGTTGCCGTGTCAACTGGTAGTAGTCAATTTTCCGTCCAAAAGGAGAAACTGATAGCAGTCAAAAGGTAAACCAGTCTGTTTCGCTGTTTTTTTATTTATCCTTGACATCTTGCGAACTGAAAAATAATAGTATTGTTTTTCATTTCCTTGACAATAAAAAGGAACTCCGAGACACAATTTCAAGGATGCATTGTGCTGTTCAGCCGAAGTTTGCCTCAAGAAGCTTATCAAAATTTAAAAACTTCCTCGAAACACTATCCAGGAATACTCTGTGGCTACAGTGGTGCACTTTGTGTTTCGGAGATCCACCTCTTAGCCAACATATGTTGCTCCGTCAGGATTCAAGATGTGCCGGCAGACACCTGATTTGCTCATAGATTTGAATATGCGACCTTGCTGGGTTTGTCTACTTTTTTTTTCACTGCAATAAGTACGTTTTAAGGAATTTGTTTTGTTTTGGGGCTTCTTCTGTGATGCCACTTAGCCGTTTGGGCCCTTTTTTTAATACAAATTCATGTGGGACACGGTTCTGAATCAAGTTGTTCACTCCTTCGCGTCTTTGTTATATGCTGAATTCGACTTCGCGTCTCCAAGTCCCACCTTTCAATTTCAGTTCGCCTTCCATTCCACAGACAGCAGACTTTCCGGATCTGTTAGGAAGGCTTGGTCCAATACCAGCCGAGATCTACTTGTTGGTTGCAATGCATCCAGAATGTAATTTGGTTTAGGTTACTGGGCAGGGAGGAAAGGTCATGGCTGCTTATGTCGTATGATATGGATATGGATAACCGGAAAGTCCAGCATATCAGCAGTTTTCAAAGACGCTGTGTGCTCCCATGTCTGCCTTGCATGCCCTGTTTCCTGTAGTGGTCACTGAAATCAGGTGATATGGACCAGATCCACTTTTGAGGGTTTGGTTTGGACAACTTCTTTGTCTAATTAAATTGGCTTATCTGCTGGGGTTAGCTATGGAGACTTTGTAAGTTAGTCCTCAGACCTACTCAGTTAACCTATTTGCTCTCATTTACTTGTTCTTCTCACTTGTTAGCCGCATGTTATTGGGTACCTTACCTATGTTCGGAATTATGGACATTTTTAACTCTTCTGGTATGTTTATTTTATGCAGGTACCTTGGTATACTACTTATTATCCATTGATGTTAATCATTAGTTGCCCTGTTTTTCATGTGGATTTTCGAAGTATCGCTCGCTTATTTTTATTTGATATGATTATCCTCTTTGTGGCAGTATAATATAATAAGTACTACCGATCGACTTCTCTATATCGCAAAGTATACTTAGTGGCTGAACTGGTGTGAAGACATGGCATTGCAAGTTCCTTCAATGAGATCTGCATAGTCTTCCATTGATGATGTCATACAACCTAGAGAACATATTTCTTCCTTTCCTTTTCTGAGGGGAGGAGATCAACATAACTCAATCAATCAATCATGTGTTGAGTATTTTTTTCCTAAACCTGGTAATCTGCTCCTTTAATTTTTTGGAGTTAACAGAGCCTTCATACCATGATGCTTTATCACCCTGAAGACGATGGACACTGTCTGCTGAATATGCAACTGTAAACACAACTATGCTCCAGTTTTCCCTGTAATGACAAACTACGGCGCCCACATAAGCACACAAATAACTGCATGATCCTTCAGACCTTGGTGTAAAGTGTCAACTATGGTGATCAGTGGGTCAAGAACCTTGGTCAAACTGATATATTGCAGAACATAATAGTAGCAAACGTATATTTGTCAAGAGTTTACATACTGCAGAAAGAGGTGCCTTAGTGCTTTTTAAGTTCGATTCTACGATAAATAATGCTCGTCCAGAGTTTACATACTGCAGTTCTATTTGTTTTCCCTGGGCAGATTATGTCTATAGTTTGCATACCCTCCATATGGATTCGAAGTCTATCCAGAGAGTTAATTCAGTTGCACTTTGTGCAGCTCGGACCCTCCGGGAGAGGTGTTCAGTGTATCCAGGATGATATAGAAACATACTACTCCGTCCCATAATGTAAGACGTTTTTCGATTTTTGACACTAGTGTAGTGTCAAAAAACGTCTTACATTATCGGACGGAGGGAGCACTATTCACGTTCAGTACCTCCGAGTCATTCAAAATTCCATTCATCCAAACGTTCCGAGATAATCGAGTAGCAAAATCTTAGGATTACGGTATGGTTTGAACCATTTTCGGACACTTCCTGTTGTTATAAAGAAAAAATTAGACCAACAGGGAATAGCCCCTGTGGCATTTTTATTAACAAAAAACAACCCAGGCACACACCCTGCGGGCTCAAGTCATTGTATTTGTTGACTGATGTCTTATTGATATATTTTGTGGCATTTCCGTGTTAAGGCATAGGCGATATTCAGTTTTGTCATTCAGCAGACTAATATCATGGGTTATTACATCTCCACTCTTTATTCCTCTCTTAATTAATATATGAGGCAAATATTTTGCCTCCGTTTAAAAAAAAAACTCTTTGCTCAGTTGAATCAAACATGTTTTGATTTCACAGAAACCTGGAAAGTGGAGTCATTATCGCTGCTGCACGATCAAGCAACACATACTATTCTATTTTTCTACCTTGGCGGGCCTCATGCACAGGCCCTTACCCCAGGCTTGCCTTGGGTTGTTCTGCACTGGTGGAATACTATGATCA